AGATCTTGCGCTTGGGAAGGTCCCATTTTGTCCATGCGCCCTGGGATCCTTGTTCCACTGCCCTTGCCATCCGCCTTTCCTCCTCACGGGCCCGCACCTCAGCCTGAACCATCTCCTGCCTGCTCTTTACACCTGCGCTTCTCCATCGCTGGAAATGTGCACAGCCGAGTCCTCTCCGTCCGATGCAAGGGCTTCCAAGAATATCTCGCAGCCTCAGAGCACTCTCCGCCTGCTCTACAGCTGTGCTGGCTGCCCATTTGCGTCCAGACCTGGTCATAACCCCTACTTGCCTCACCAGTTCGTCTTTGGAGTCTCTGAGGCTAAGTAGGACTCTACACTTTGCCACTTTAAACTCTTCTACGATGGAGGACAGGGGAAGTTGCAGTTGTCCTGACCGAATGTAGAGGCCCACTGAGGAAAAACTTGGGGGAATCCCCAACCACCTTCTCAGGTGCTTGTTAGTCTTCCTCTCTATGCCCTCCACAGCCGTCATGGGGAACTCATAGATAGTAAAGAGCCAAAGAAGCCTGGGCAGAAGGCCATGCTGGTACAGCCAGGTCTTGAATTTACCAGGGAGCCTAGACTTGTCGATCTTCTTTAGCCATTCCTCGGTCTGCTCCACCGTGTTTTTGGCATTAGCCCGATCTGAGAGTGACCCATCGAACCACTTTCCCAAACACTTTACTGGGTTCTCTTCAATTGATGGAATGGCCTCACCCTGGACATGAAGACTGAACCTCCCTGTGGGCTTGCCCTTCCTGATCACCAGACTCCTAGACTTACTGGCCTTGAAAGTCATCCTTGCCCACGTAGCTACAGCGCCAAGGGTTTCCAAGACCCATCTTGCTTGGACGTGTGTACCAGTTGTTATTGTAATATCGTCCATAAACGCACGGAGCACTGGCTGGGAGATGCCTGACTCTAACGTGGGACCGCGTGTTACTCCTTCTGCTGCAACCAGAAGGTTCATGCCCATGACAAACAAGATAGGGGAGATGGTGCACCCAGTAGGAATCCCCTTTTGAAGATCTTGCCAGTTGGTTGTAAACTGCCCTGCTGTAAATCTAAGCTTAATCCCTCCTAGGTAGCTGGAGATCATGTCACGGATAGCCGTCGGGATATGATAGTGGTCCAGTCCTTCTTGAATGAGGTCATGTGGAACTGAACCGTAGGCATTTGCAAGGTCTAACCAGATGACTGTCAGGTCACTTTTCTTCTGCTTTGCCTCTCGGATCAGTTGGCTGATCATTGAAGTGTGCTCCAGGCACCCTGAAAAGCCTGGAACACCTCCTTTCTGTATGGAGGTGTTGATGTATTGATTCTGAATCATATAGGAGGTCAGTCTTTTTGCAAGCACGGAGAAGAATATCTTGCATTCTACACTCAGTAGAGAGATTGTCCTAAATTGGGCAATTGAGGAGGAACCTTCTTCCTTAGGAACAAAACAGCCCTCTGCTAGCTTCCAGCTTGGTGGGACCGATCCTTTTGCCCAAATCTTCCTCAGGATCCTCCACAACCTTTTGAGCAGTTGTGGACATTGCTTGTATACCTTGTATGGTATGCCACTCGGACCTGGGGCTGCTGAAGCCTTGGCTTTCTGGATAATATCCTGCACTTCCTGCCAGGTTGGCTCCTTTGTATTCAGCTCCACTGATGGTTCTTCAGGCTTCCTGATGCTATGGTTTTGTCCTAGACCCCCGCCCCTGAAGGGGTCACTGTGTGCATCTCGCAGAAACTCCTCTACCTCTGATTTTGAGCTGGATAATATGCCGGATTTTCGTTGACCAAGAAGAGTTCTAGTGAAGCTGAACGGGTCTTTGAGAAACTGCATTCGCCTCTTTGCTTTCTTTTTCCTCTGTTGCCGTAGATATTCTGCCCTCCGGAGTTTGCACATCTGATCCCGCAACTTGCTTGTTATGTCCTTAATACCCTCTCTTTCAGCTGGTGGCCCGATTTTGAACTGCTTGTTAAGGATCTTTATTTCGCTTCTTAAGCGACTAATCTCTCTTTCCCTCCTGTTTGGTTGCCGTGGTGACTGGGGCTGACTCCTCTGCTCTATTAGGCCAAATCTCTCCTTCGCCAGATTGTACGTTATGGCTGTGAGTGATTCGATCTTCCTGTGCACAGGACCGGCCAGAGTGGCTTCCAGGATACCATTGAGGTCGTCATCAAACTGCGTCCATGCCATGCTGTCAGACGATGTGGGCCACTTGATCCTCTCTCTTCTTGACGAATGGATGGGGGTAACCGAAGGGGAACTCGCTCGATCTATCCTCTGGCTCTGGGGCGGCTCAAGTGCGTAGAGATCTTCAGCACTGTGGGGTGCTGCCTGGCTGGAGCTCTCCTTCGTCTCACCAGACACTGTGTCTGCGCGCTGCACTTGGGTCACCGACCTTCCACAAGAGGACCTGCTCTGATGTATCTTAAGCCCTCTGGTGCCTTTGCATACTTTCCCGCAATGGCACTTTGTCACGTATTCCTCTCCGGTCAGCGTTGTTTGCTTTAGCTTTCTCGTTGTCTTTATTCCTGTCCTGGCCGTTATCAAAATATCCGTCCTGTTGAGTCTCTCATCCTCCCCCCCTCTCGGGAGACTCTGGGGGTATTGCTCATTTTGTTCATTCGTAGCAAGAGTGGTGCCCTCTTACGAGTGCTGCAAAGCAAGGTTGCTAGCCTTGAGTGCCCGCGCCAGACTTTCCTGGAGGTCAACTGTCTCTCCAGCGTCACCGACCTTTCTCGGTTGTCATCCAGTCTTTCCTAGAAGCCACTGGTAAACCAGAGAATACTTGTGACATACACCTAGTGGGTGCTTTCTTCAGTTACCTTGAGGGTAACTGTAGCCTTCTGCGAGGAGCAGATGTCGTCAGGTGGTACACAACCTTCACTGGGTGTTTCGGCCCTCAACCACAACACCCTCCAGTTGGTGGGCCGGCAGTGATGGCCAAGTCACTGCCCATCTGCTCCTGGCTTCCAGCTTTCCTCCTCCCTCTTGTTCCATATCCAGCAGGAGGCACGTTCTGCCTCCTCCCCCATCCGACGTACTGCTTGTTTTTTCCTTCTTTCGTCCATGCCCAGATCTGATAGTAACCGCCAGGTTGATTTGGCAGGGAAACCTCTGCAGCCGACCTCCACTGGGAACAACCACGCCTGCCATCCCTTGTCCTTGCAGTCCTGAAGAAGGGACTGATACTTCAAGGCCTTCCTCTCATGGGCAACCTCACATCCCTCCTCCCAAGGCACCGTCAGCTCAACTAGAATTATTTTCTTGCCCTCTGTTGACCACAGGACAATGTCTGGACGGAGGGCTGTGAGCACCACCCCTGGGAATTGCAGCCTTTTTCCCACGTCCACCCTCATCTCCCAGGACCTGGCGTTTTGAAGGAGATTGGGTTTTGATGGTTTGGTTGAAAAAGGCCTTTCTCCCTCCTTGATGAAGGTGATCGCCCTCTTCAAGCCCATACCGGCAGGCCTCTTCCTACATCTTTCCTGCTCCAATATGTCAGCAAGGGACAGTAACACTTTGTCGTGACGCCACCTATACCGACCTTGAGTGAGAGCAGTTTTGCACCCTGATAGTATATGTGCCAATGTTCCCTTTTGCCCACATAGCTTGCAGTTAGGATCTTCCCTCAGCCCCCATACATGTAAATGTGCTGGCGAAGGAAGGGTGTCATAGACAGATCGCAATAGGAAGGAAATTCGGTAGGGCTCCAGCCGCCACAACTCTTGCCAGGAGATCTTGCGCTTGGGAAGGTCCCATTATGCAATGTTTTCTTAGTCAAATCATACAATTTCCTTTTGATTCAACAGAACGCGTGAGCTCACTAGGGAATACCCATATGGCGGCGCGGTGGCTTCACTGTTTATGACGTCATGAGCTATCCAGTCATTCTATCAGTGGCTTTCAACAGACCGAATGGCCACCATAGCGCTTTACAGCCTCACATTCACCCATTCATTCACACATTCATTCACACATTCATTCACACATTCATACACTGACGGCGGTGTCAGCCATGCAAGGCGCCATCCAGCTCGTCGAGGGAAGCTGGGGTTAGGTGTTTTGCTCATGGACACCTCGTCAATTGGTCAGGTAACCGGGGATTGAACCACCAACCTTCCAGTTCGTAGACAACCTACATGAACCACTGAGCCACTGCCCCCCTATAGAATGCATAGCTATAGAATGTTGCATATAGAATGTATAAAGGAAGGAAATAAAACAAATTCATAAGTAAAAAAGGGGTTTAAATAATAAATCAACTGAATTCCAAGTGATCAAGGGCTAGTGCATTCCATTTAAACCTAAGCAATGACACACATCCAAGTCCACTAAATGGAAGGAAGTTAGTGAGTGAAGGTCATATACATTTTAAGTGGAATGCAGCCCTTATCAGTATGCAGAGGCTTTAACACACTTCCTGTTTCTCACCTTAAATTTGTTGCCTCGTCGCGAGATAAATCAGATTTTATCAGACATTATTTATCAGATAAATCCCCTAGGAGAACATGCATTTTTCAAACAACCCACAAGCCGACTTCCTGTTGGGTGGGTACAGAGCGCAAAAGTTGTTCAGCCAGATGAGATCTAGGCTATAAGTGTATGAATTTTGTAGGGGCGTGCGCTACAGAGGCCCATATACAACCATTTAAAAGGTGTCAATCCATTTTTATTTGATAGATCCTGCTGTCAGATTGTTTTGAAATATGTACAAATACATTTTGATTTTACACATAAAAACACCAGAGTTTTAAAATTTCTGACGTTTCAGAAAATAACAGAATGTTATTATATATATATATACTAATGAGCATTAAGCTTTATCATCAACAAGTGGTTTCTGGAGCTCTAATGGGGTGGAGGGATAGAGTAGTGGGGAGAGTTAGGGTGTGGTTAGATATTCTAGCTCCACCCATCAGGCCCAAATAACATTCGCTCCTCCCTGGACATAAGCTCCACCCGTTTGCTCTGCAGTGAGCACCACTTGAGCGCTGGTGTTTATTCACACTGACTGCAGAGTTACACACAACAGACCAGCAGCACAGTCCTTTTCAGCTCTTCTGTTGCTGTATTACCAAACGTTCATCGTTTATTATGACATTCATGTTGTTGTTTTTTTCATTTGTTTGTGTTTAAATGTAGCCTTTACAAAATAAGGAACTGTTGTTATTTAAAACCAATTCAACGAAATGCCAAATCAAATATTTGACGCATTTATATTCTTCTGTTTGTGCTTATGGAGTCTGAGTGGTAAGTATTTTATGGCTTCGTTTATGTTTATATTATCATTTGTCCACATACACATCATTCTGTTGTTTCCATTCATTTTCAAGTTTTGTCTGACAAATATACTCAAATATGTTTGGTCATTATGTTACTTTGTCATTTTTTTATCCATGACATCAAAGGGTTTAATAAAACCCTTTGATGTCATAGGTAAAAATGGTGGTGGAATGATCTGCCTAACTCAACCAGAGCTTCTGAGTCAGTAGCCACTTTCAAGAAACTACTGAAGACGTATCTTTTTCGGCAGCACTTGATTCAGTAGTACTACTAACACTTTCTCTTCTCTTCTATTTAAAAAAAAAAAAAAAAACCTGCACTAAAATTACACTGAGAGTATAGCACTTGCGTATTGTTGTCCTACTGTTAGTTTAACTGCTTCTATTGTTCTCATTTTGTAAGTCGCTTTGGATAAAAGCGTCTGCTAAATGAATAAATGTAAATGTAAATGTAATTTATTGCCATTACTTAAATGTACATTGAAATTAGTGAAGTGAAGAGTTGTTTTGCAATGATACATTTTTAATTGTTTCAAACTGACAAAAATCTGGTAAATCTCCAAATGTGGTAAACCTGAATAAATTCTGAGTGAATATTTCTGTTTGTTGTTCAGGAGTGTTTGGTGTTGATGATGCAGTGAAGTCAGTGTCAGTGACTGAGGGAGAATCTGTCACTCTAAACTCTGATCTCACTGAAATACAGACAGATGATCTGATAATGTGGAGAACTGTACACAACAGCAATCTCATAGCTACCAAAGAAAACTATAAGATAGATTTTCCTGATGTGAGATTCAGAGACAGACTGAAGCTGGATCATCAGACTGGATCTCTGACCATCATGAACACCAGAAACACAGACTCTGGACTTTATACAGTATCCAGCAGCAGATCAGAGACACCGCTCAACACATTTAATATTACCGTCTATGGTGAGTAGAGAATTACTACCCTGTTTATTTTTTATTTTTTATTTTTTATTTATATATGTGTATATATATATATATATATATTGCCATTCAAATGTTTGGGATCGGTAGGATTTTTTAAATGTTTTTAAAAGAAGTCTCTTATTAGATCAAAAATAGTAAATATTATGACAATTTAAAATAGCTGTTTTCCATTAGAATTTTAAAATGTAATTTATTCCTGTGATCAAAGCTGAATTTTCAGCATCATTACTCCAGTCTTCAGTATCACATGATCCCTCAGAATTATACTAATTTAATGCTCAGAAAACATTCATTATTATTATCAATGTTGAAACAGTTTTTAAATTAAAAATAAAAATAAAAATCAGGCTTCTTTGATGAATTGAAAGTTCTATTTAATTTATTTGAAATAGAATATTTTGTCTTTTCTGTAACTTTTGATCAATTTAATGCATCCTTGCTGAATAAACTTATTGATTTCTTTTACGGCCCAACTTTTGAACAGTAGTGTATTGTTACAAAAAAAAGAAGAAAAAAGTTATTTATAATTGTAATAATGTTTTACAATATTACTGTTTTTTGTATTTTTAATCAAATAAACAAAGCCTTGGTGAGCATAAGAGACATTTTAAAAACTTCTTAAAAATTATTAAAAAAAATATTAAAAATCTTACCGATCCCAAACTTTTGAACGGCAGTGTAAATGTTTGTGCGTGTACAGGTTGATCTTTTCAAAATTTAGAATTGTCATAATTACTGAGAATATTATAAAATTATATAAAGACAATTCTGTGTTGATAAAAATTAATTTGTACATTTATACATTCTCATAATTACATATTTTAATAATAAACATTTTTATAACATTTGTTTCTTTGCTACATTCATTAAATTAGAATGTAATGAACTGACAAATAGCACAGCATTCTATACTGAATTCTATTTATTCTGTTTCCAAGCTCGTCTGCCTGTTCCTGTCATCAGCCATTCTTCAAAAAAATCCCCAACTTCATCAAATTGTTCATTGGTGTGTTCATCAGTGTTGAATGTGAGTGATGTGACTCTCTCCTGGTACGCAGGAATGAGTGTATTGTCCAGCATCAGTGTGTGTGATCTCAGCATCAGTCTCTCTCTACCTCTGGAGATTCAGTGTCTGGATGATTCCTACAGCTGTGTGATCAACAATACCATCAGCAACCAGACCACACATCTCAACACTCAACTCTGTGGGCCATGTTCAGGTACTGTGCGGGTGCAAGGCACTACTTACTATCAGTTAACCATCAGTTTACTATAACCAGTGGTGGACGAAGTACACATACCATGTACTTGAGTAAAAGTAAAGATACTCAAGGTAAAATATTACTCAAGTAAAAGTAAAAGTGCTGCCTTTAAACATTCACTTGAGTAAAAGTACAAAAGTATTTGCCTTCAAATGTACTTAAGTATCCAAGTACTTTGATTTTTTTATGGCTATAATATATATATATATATATATATATATATATATATATATATATATATATATGTGTGTGTGTATATATTTGAATTGAATTAATTTTTTGTGTGTTTAATTTTGGAGGAAAGGGGACTGTTCCCATAAGGTATAAAACATTTACAGTATTTACTGTATATATTTTTCTCCAGCGACTATGGTCATAATTATTAACATCTTAATGTTATGATACATTCACATAAACCTGCACAACGCCATTATATATATATATATATATATATACACACACATACACATATTCACACGCGTGCGCACACACACACACACACACACACACACACACACACACATAGGCTATATATATATATATATGTGTAGCCTATGTGTGTGTGTGTGTGTGTGTGTGTGTGTGTGTGTGTGCGCGCGTGCGCACGCGTGTGAATATGTGTATGTGTGTGTGTATATATATATATATATATATATATAATGGCGTTGTTCAGGTTTATGTGAATGTATCATAACATTAAGATGTTAATAATTATGACCATAGGCGCTGGAGAAAAATATATACAGTAAATACTGTAAATGTTTTATACCTTATGGGAACAGTCCCCTTTCCTCCAAAATGAAACACACAAAAAAATTAATTCAATTCAAATATATACTTATATATATATATATATATATTCTATGTTATGGGAGCAGCCAATTTCCCTCCAAAATTAAACACAAAAACGTATTTTTTTCTGGGAGTAGCCTAGCAGAAAACGTGTTTCTGCTAGGCTACTCCCCAGAGTCATTTTAGTGGCAACGTAAGCAATGTACATTATGCGTCAATACTTACCAATAATTGCTGCAATAATAGCTGCTGCTCTCTGTCCCGCTTAAAATCATTGTCAACGCGATTTGTTTGGAACTATTGAGAGCTACACGAATAACGTGACCGCGCGGCGGCGAGATCACGGTCACAACTATCTATGTTCGCAACTCTCATGTTTTACGGCTCTGATTCGCGCTAGTAGAGACCGCCAGACAATTTCAAAACAAAGCGCGCGCGCGCTGTACTGTGATTGGTGGCTCGTTTGACTAGTTGCGTTTTTATCCACTCATAAATAAAAAGGAACGACTGATTTTGAAAATGTAGTTGAGTAAAAAGTAAGATATTTGACTTTGAAATGTAGTGGAGTTAAAGTAAAAGTCTCCCAAAATGTAAATACTTGAGTAAAGTACAGATACGCAAAAAAGCTACTTAAGTACAGTAACGAATTACATTTACTTCGTTACTGTCCACCACTGACTATAACTGATTTCATTTCCACACATAATTATTTTAATTTCCTTAAAAAAACTTTAACAGTAATTCACTTTAGAAAACTCCCTCCTAGGCTGTTGTTGGTTTGATCTTCTCCAAAATATGCACACAGCAGCCAGGGATTGGTCAGGCAACATTCAGATTATTTTTTTTACATGAGTTGACCTATAGCTGCTGAGCACAATGTTCAAGCGTAACTAAATTTGATTCACAAAGACAACAGGGCATTCTGTGTTACGGGTGTGTGCAGGCAGGCAGACGAAGACTCAGAAGATTAAGGTTCCAAAACAAAAGTTTACTTATAATCCAAACAGGTAGCAGAAATACACACACATAGGAATAAACGTGACCGGACACCGAATGACGGTAAAGGAGAAACTTAAGTATTGAATACAACCATGGTAATTAATGACATAGCTGATACACATGAACTCATAATGACCGAAACCATGACGACCATGGAGTGGAGGGAAAATGAACAAAGGAGACTAAACTAACTATACATCCATGATAACTAAACAAACTGAACACAATGGTGACATTCTGAGGACGCACACCAAATTTCATAAAATTGAGAAATGGGGGCGCTACAAATAAAAAAACATAACTGTTATATTATTTTATATTATATACACTCACAAACTAAAATATAGCCTCAAGCACCAATCGCCCCTGTCTATAGCTATCAAACTGAAACGTATGATGTGGATTTTACAGAAAAGTCCATCTTCAATGATAGTTAAACTGTAAGAATTGAGACATTAGAAAATGCCGGGCAGTCTGGTTGAGGAACGAACACTCCCTGAGAAGACAAAGAACCTTTCTTTAAATTAACACTTGACTCTCTTGAAAAGCTTGCATCCCCGAGTCAATCACCTCCCCCATGTCGTCTCTCTCACACGCTGACATCACCAGATATTCACCCAAACATCTATATGGTTTAATGTGAATAATTATCATACAGTATTATACATGTTTGGTACCATTTGAAATGTCTGGTACTGGTACAAATGTCTCATTCCCAAAGAGGTAAACCAAAAGGTAACAAAGTTTTTAAGATTTTAGAGATAACTTGCACAAAGAGGATGATGGGTCCTCCAGGCAAATAGTATTCTGCCTCCAAAAGGTGTAAAGTCTGAATGCAATTTCACATTGTTAGCAAATGTTTCCATGTGAAAAAAAGTTTCTGTCTCGGTCTGACTTAAAGAAATGCAGCGAAAAGCTCAGCCGATTTGTTATGAGATCGGCCCATTATGCTGAGAGTCTTTCAGCATGTACGTATTTCTTGAGTCAGGTACATCTTTTACTCTTTATGTCTGAGCATTTGATATTATTGTATTGATTACCTCTGAATTGATTATGAAATGGGCATGATACATTTACCTGACATAATACATTGTTACATTTGATTTTATTCTGAATTACTCTGAAATTATTTTCTCAAGTAGATTAAGTGAAGTTTTATGTTTCCGCAAATCTGCGTCCAGGGTTAAGTACATACTAGATCCCAGTTTAGATGGAGTGTGAGTCACATCTGGTGGGATTCTAGATTCCTGACTAACTGCTTGATTTTAAGTTGTTATCCAGTCGCCAATAGGGGGCTAGATAAAAACACTATTGAGATAATAGCAGTGTTTGGAGCGGCATTATCTTAATGTACTAGTCATAACTTCTGGTTATTGTTTGGGCTTTAAATAAGTTGTTATATGGGTGACTGTAGGGAGCTACATGGGTACTTTTTAACAATAGCAAGCATGCTTGCGCCATTGTTAAACTGCTTTAGCCATAACCTCTGGTTATCGATCAGACATGTCGGGTTTGTGCAAACGGCCGGCGTGAGATTCTCTAAGCGACATAGATTCCTATAGTGAACGAGTAAAATATAAAGTAAAGAGTTAAATAGAATAATCAAATGTATTGCTAAACTATTATTATGATTGACCGATAACCAATTGGCAATCTAACCTAAATTCGAGGTCGTGATAAAAGCTTAAATGGAATTAAATTACTTTGCCACGCTGAAAGACAGTAACACGCAGAGATCCTTCATCTGCTTATCGGAAACTCTCATTGGACAGATTTAGTCGGGCTTACAATAGTTAGGATTTGATAAAAACAGGTTACCGCAACACACTGCTAGCCTATCAGAAAAGCGCAATTGACTTAAAAAAATCACTACCTCTTACTGTTACATTAAAAGGGAAGTAAAAAACAAAACAAAAACCCTGTATAAAATGTTTACTGTCGTAAGTAATGTGATCATAACATGTGGTGTATGTGTGGAATCATATTCATTTCAACATTTAGATGAATCGCATGTCATAGAAAGTCAAAGGACAATTTCAAATGATCGTGAATATCACGTTGCAGCTCAAACGTTTATTTATCTGAAGCATTTATATCAAAGCTCTTTTCATTTTCATAATGAATTTCTATCATTTCTAACCTTATGCTTGCAGTTTAACACATGAGTGTTAAAAATGTGTATTATTGGGATCTAAAATATGTGAACATTTAAATATCTATTAGCATTTCACAGACTTCTGTATATACAAATTATAAAAAACTATTCTGTCAGTACACCATATACAAATAAACTAGATCAATGTTTCCATTTAATCTAATTGTGATAAATCAACATTCTTTGATAACTTTTTGCCAGCAATGTCCCTAGCTGCTGTGTGCATATTTTGGTGATGAATGGACCAACAGTATAGGAGGAATTTGAAAAAGTCATAAAAAAAAAAAAAACAACAAAAAAAAAACAGCTGAAACCAATTATTGGCTAAAATGAAATTAGAGATCATTTGTCGAGGTTGAAAAAGAGAAGGTCAACCTTAAGGTCTTCTAGCCTTTAAGGTTCTAAAGTTATGATCCAAAATTATAACACCACCTAGTGTCAGACAGGTGTGTGTGTATCTGTACACGATTGAGACCATCCTGCTGAGTTTAGGGTCTCTGTATTTTATGTGCCATGCACTTTTACCTTCGATGCTAAAACCCCTAAAGAACCATGTTTATACTTTAACATTGCTCATTTCTTCTCTCACAAGATTTTAACTGGTGCTGTGGTTTTACTGAAGCTGTGATCCGATTGGCTCTCTCTGCTCTGGTGGGCGTGGCTACTGTTGCTGTGCTGGTTTATGAATTCAGATCCAGAAGAAGTCTTCAACAGAAGAAGAGAGAGCAAACGCCATCAAACTCTGATTAATCAGATACTCAGGAAGGTGGAGATGTTCCTGAAAAACTGTAGACATTATATTACAAAAATGTAATTTTCTTCAGTTTCAATCAGATTTTCAACAGCATGCCTTACAATATACACTGACTAATCAGAAAATTAAAAGGTATCATTATTTTATATATATATATATATAAAAAAAAATTATTCTGGTGTATTTGTATTATTGTAAGATATATTGCTAAGATTCCCACACAGTGGGAAAATGATTTCAACATCTGTTGTTATTTGAATAAAAGCTTTAGGAAGATTATTATTTATTGTGCTTGCTGACAGATTGTTGGGGGTTACAAGATGAAGCTGATGGTTTTCAAAGTATTTTGTTTTATTACTATATTACAAAATAAAAGAGTATAGTAATATTATTGTCTCCGTTTCATCACTGTTGTATTAATGATAGCACATACAATGTGGTGACATCACCATGTATTGATGTTTTTAATGTGAACAGACAGTCTTTTAATTGGTGGGAATCATTTCTTTGGACTATAACTACATGTATTACTCATGTTTGTTAGAATATTTTATTTTAAATTAGTTTTTCAGCTCCAGCTCTTGTGATCCACAATGTTTTCGATGTCTCCCTATTCAACACACTTAGATGCTGATGAGTTGAAGCAAGTGTTTTAATTAGTGAGACATCTAAAACATTCTAGAAGGTGCAGAGCTGGAGTTCAGAAACAGAATTGGAAGACATGTTTAATTGCTACTCAACTTTTAAAGATGTTTGTGCTTCCTTAATGGTATAAAACAATGAAACCCCTTAAAGGTGTTTCAGAAGTTGATGTGTCTCATACAAATTTAGCAATTAGTATGAAGGTACTGGATGATGGAGGAATTGATCCCAGGAAAGGGCATCAAACATTAGCCTACATGCATGATGCCCTCTCCTGGCATAAATTCCTGTGTGACTTTCCCCAAACCAGTTAAGCACAAACCCGGCCCCAAGAGCATTATTGTTATACATTATGGATTTTTATTATCATAATTCATGTATAAAAACCCACAACAAACTTGCTTTTGAAAAAGGTGTGGTTAAAACATGAAAAATTTGTTTTAATTGTTATGCTTCTTTTAATGTCAATACATTCAAATAAGACAAATAACTTCAATGATATTCTCAAATCACTTAGATAATGACAGTGATTAATCATTTAAATCGTGTATTTTAAAGTATACCTACTCATATAATCTTTTTGTTGGTAAAACATCCATCTATTTGCTGGATAGTCCTTCTGGGGACCTTCTTGGTGTGAGGCGACAACAAATAGGCCTACTGAAAATAATCAGAACTGGATGTCAATAATGCAATTTCATAACATGAAATATTCACAAACCTTACAAGCAACCTCTTTAAATACTGAATAGAAGGAATGGGGACATTGGTCAGTAACTCTTATAAACGTAGAGGCGTGTGTAGCCAACATCGGACGCGAGCGACACATAAATACCTTATAGAATCCGTTGATGATGTCTACACTGGATTGGTAAACGCGACACGACAAATCCCCGACAGAGAACGGATGAACCGTTCTATTTCAACACTTCTGAAACAAAGGAGATTTGCGACGTTCTGTCGCGTGTAGTGTTGACAGCTTCGAGCTTTTGCTGCACTGTACGCGGTGTGTTAGTGAATACTTGGTAAAAAGTATTTACTAAAATAGGTCTATTGTAGCCTATGTGACAAAAAAAAAAATCTGTAAAAGGAGGGAGGAGTTTAATCACACTAACTGTAGTGGAGTTTCAGTAAACCGCTCCATTACAGACCGGCAGCACTGGTAACTTCAGCTCATCCAACAATTTGAACGTTCACATGTTTAATATTTCTATTGTGTTTAACTTTTCAAAATTAGGAACTGCTTTTTTTAAAAACCGTTCAGCGAAATGCCAAAGAAAATATTTGACATGTTCTGTTTGTGCTTGTGGAGTCTGAGTGGTAAGTAGATTTTTTAATGCCTTCGTTTATGTTTATTATCTTTTTCCAATAGCCTACACATCATTCTGTTATTGTTCCCACCACCCATTTTCATGTTTTATTATTAGACTAATATAGGCTACTCAAATAGCATTGTTCATTATTTAAATTTTTATTTTCCATTTACATTAATGGATTGCACACTATTGAATTATACTCTAAAATTAGTTAAGTGAAGTGATATTTTGTAATGGCACATTTTTAAATTGGTGAAAAATTGTGAAAACGCAAACTCTGTTAAACCTCTAAATTCTGAATGAATAATCAATATTTCTGTTTGTTGTTCAGGAGTGAAGTCAGTGTCAGTGACTGAGGGAGAATCTGTCACTCTAAACTCTGATACTGAAATACAGACAGATGATCTGATAATGTGGAGAACTGGACACAACAACAATCTCATAGCTACAATCAATGGAAAGGACAATAAGACAGATTTTCCTGATGAGAGATTCAGAGACAGACTGAAGCTGGATCATCAGACTGGATCTCTGACCATCATGAACATCAGAAACACAGACTCTGGACTTTATAGAGTATCCAGCACCAGATCAGAGACGCCGCTCAACACATTTAATATTACCGTCTATGGTGAGTAGAGAACTATAGCTTTTAAGAAAATAAGCACCAATTAAACCTGGAATAGCATATCAGACTCCTTATACTCCAAATAGTCTGTGATATTTCCATGATTTATTCATACATCATGTCTCACAATTCACCTCAAGGTCTTTGGTGACAGTTTCATCTGCTTGATAAACAAGTAACCTTCACTATTTGTTCTCTATCAAATTGTTTTAAAAGGCTATACATTTGGTCTTGGTTCATCTCAATGTTTTTACTCATCTACTTAAATATCTACCTCCTCATATGTTCTCTCATATTTTTTCAGCTCGTCTGCCAGTTCCTGTCATCAGCAGAGACTGTTCTGTTCTCAGACTGTACCAGAATTGTTCATTGGTGTGTTCATCAGTGTTGAATGTGTGTGATGCGACTCTCTCCTGGTACGCAGGAATGAGTGTATTGTCCAGCATCAGTGTGTGTGATCTCAGCATCAGTCTCTCTCTACCTCTGGAGGTGGAATATCAGGATAAAAACACTTACAGCTGTGTGCTGAACAATCCCATCAGCAACCAGACCACACATCTGGACATCAACACACTCTGTCACACATGTGCAGGTCTGTGGATATATACAGTATATTTACTGAACTGATTTCTCAAGTTATATAGAGTTGATATTTCATATAGTGTTTTTTTTGTAGAGCATATTGACAGGTTCATAATGTTAATGCTTCATTTTGTTTATTATAGATGAGACCTCATTGTATATAGTGCTGATCTCTGCTGCTGCATCTCTGTTGATTGTAGTTGCTGTCGGATCAGCAATCTTCTGGATCTGCAGGAAAACAGACCATGAGGGCGAGTAGAATTATTTTCTCCTGAAACGTCTGTAAAAATACATGTTTTTAAGTAAGGAATTATTGTCACTGAATGAGTAGAATATTGATATTTTCAATTGTATGAGCAAGGCAAGGAAAGCTTATTTATATAACACTTCATACACTATGGTAATTAAAAGGGCTTTACACAGAAAGGAATTAAAATAATCACAAAAAAAAAAAAAGGAAAATTTAAAAAGTTATAAAAGGAATTAAAAGGGTAAAAAGATTATACATAGATAAACTTCTCAAAACACCGGTGTATCATATTTTTCACAGCTGCTTGTTACTGTGAGATTTCCCCATGTTGATTGTACTGTGTCTGTGGTATTCTTTCGACGTACCTAAAAATATGTTTTTGTCCTTAAAACTCTCTTTTGTGCAGGACAAATGTCTTTTCATCCCAAGCCTCCATTGGTAATTCCAAAACATAATTTTATAGCTAGTGACAAAGTCATTGATATTGAGTTACTATAGAGAGAGGGAGACTGATTAAGTGTGTGTGAATGATAAGTGACTGAGTCTGCCTGGCTCGCAACAGGCTCTCTAGTGCTGGAAGTTTAAAGGCACTATATGTAAGATTCTTAGATTAAAATATCCAAAAACCACTAGGGCCATGTCCTATATTTTGTTGACTTATATACTTACATTATTCAAATGTTTCCAACAATATTTAAATCAGAGAAGTCCACAATCTTAACCAGTGTAATGGCCCATGTCATTGAGTTGCCGGTCAATGACGTCATATCCGTGGTACCCTCGATTTCCGTTTGTCCTTCTGTAGAATCCATGGAAACACCATAGACTAGGATGCTGTCCTGTTCCAGTCTCCATAGGAACCCATTGTTAAAAAAGGGATAAAGAGAGTGAATTAATTAAACAGAAACTTTTTGAACATTGTAAAAAATAAAAATGAGCGCATGGGTTAGGCTGTGCTGTTGTTGGCTGCCACAACAACAGCAGCAATAAACTGAAAAAATACCTGGGGCCATATGTATAAACCCGCTCAGGGTAAAAGTTTTGTCTTAAGTATGTCAAAATTCTAAGAATGACGTAACTTTACTCTTTTTCCCAAACTTAAGAATAAGTGTGATTCATAAAGGTTCCTAAGTGTTAAGACTAGGTCCCAGCTCCTAAATAATTTAAGAGTGCTGTAGAGGTATCCTAGTCTCGCGTAGCCAGACCTTCAGACTGACGGCAGAATGTCTGGCCTGCGTTTCCCGATAACGTTGTCTCTTAGTGAGCTACGAAGACTCTAAAGTTATAACTTAACTAAAGGTATACCATTTTTATGCATGTTCCCCGAACCATACCTTAAGAAGTTGCTTAAGATATACCTTCTTACGTGCGACGTTACCAGGTGCTGTCTAACTTTTTCAGTCCACAGTTAGCAGGCTCTTGAATAGCACTATTATGGCACTGACCACACCAAATATACAGTGGTGGCCAAAAGTGATGTGCAAAGTTTTTTTTTTTCCTTAAATGACCCTACAAGTTTGCTTAAACCATAAAATTATGAGGAAAATATTTTTATATTTATTTTTTATATTTTCAAGTCTCCTTGATTTCTACAGCTCTTTTTACAATACAGATTGTTTCAAAGCAACTTTACAGAGATTACAGGAAAATAATGCAACAAAGTAGTCTTGGCTGTACAGCCGCTCTAGAAGAAAATAGTGTCATTGTCCAGCTTAAAGGTGCCTTGTGTAATGTCTGCCAAAAATCAATTTATACTCCACATTCCATACCAGATGGGGGCAGTATACCTCCAGAAAGTGAGTTGGTCTACTCTAGAGTAACAACTGAGAAACGGCATAGTCTCTATGCTCCGCCCCTACCTTCACAACGACCCTAGAGCCATAGCCGAAGCCGAGCCAACTCCTAATAGAGGACGTTTTGACTCCAGAGGAACGTTGGTTTATGTCAAGTGATTTTTAAATATGACATCTTCAAGCTACTCCCCTTCACCTTTACCAGTGAATATGTTCATATTCGTTTTGTTCATATTACATTTTTATTGTTAGTTTAAATCACATTAATTTGACAGACAGCATTCGCTGATGTTGACCAAGCTAGCGCCATTCAGAGCTGCCAACTCTAACGAATTGACCGTGAGACACACCCAATTGACACTTTTCACACGCTCTCACGCCACACATCAATTTTGTCACGCACAGAAAAATCGCAAAGCAAAGAGGACACGGAGACCGACAGACTAGACAGAGCAGGTTAGTTATGATATAAAAAAAATCTCAGCTCTCAGATTCCGTCAATTTTATTACGCAATTCAAACAATAAATACCGTTTTGGCGCTTGTAAATGTTACACGACAGATCCCTAGCGCACGTGAACCGATCATCTCTACTAGCTAATAGTAAAAAAAACACGAACACTATTGAAAGATACAGTAGGCTACAACTTACCAAAATGTATTCCTCATACATAATATCGACCAATCATTTTTTTAATCAGCGTGCAGAGGTCAATAACATAGCTGGAGAACAAATATGTCAGATTTACCTCAGGAAAGCAACTATGTTATAACTTCCTGAAAAAACTAAACAAACATAGCTATAAAACAAACTTCTAGCGAAATACTAACAGCATCTTACTTACCAATCCAAAAGAAATGTTGCAAGTTCGGAGTCGAACCTCATTTCTTTCATGTCCATTAGTTGTCTCCAGCGATGGAAAGCAGTGCCAATGTTTATTCTGGTTCTGCTCCTTTTTTTATCTGATTTTATTTGTGATTCCGTTTTTTTCCCTGCAGCCGGTGGTTGTGGTGGTGGTAAGGGTCTCTTGCCAAGGGCTTCAGCCATTCTTCCGCTCTCTTCCCTGAAATGAAATGTAGTAGTGGGCTGTACTTTCCACACGATTGACATCAGGTTCAAGTACGCCCACAAGCTGTGCGAGTTATTCGTGTATTGCAGTTTGGCTGGTGGTTATGTTGCCCGCATACCGCCTCCCATGGCCGAAACTGGTATTACGACACCTGTCGGGCCGGGGCTAGTAATTTAGCATGCTAATTCAGGTTGATATCTCTGCAGCACTATAACTTGTCATTTTTTTAATGACATCATCGCCCTTATTTCTTCTCATTCTTTTGATGCGTGTAGCTCATTTTTTAAAATATTTTTACCTCAATTCTTACACATGGCACCTTTAAGTAAGTTCAGTGTTGATTCATTTCTACCAGATAGACTCGGGAGGCAAAATGACGTGACAAAGTATACATTTATTAACAGCCCAGCAAGCAAGTATTGTGTTATAAAGTTCTTTAGCGTAGGCCCCGTCCGTAGCTCGCAATCCGAGGGTAACGTAATCTGCATTTCATGCCTGAAGACGAAGGCAGGGGCACAGCCGCCCCCCTGGGAGGTATGAGGTATGGACAGATGAAGGACCCCCGGGAGGTATGGGAAGGGACCATCCTGGTGGTGGTGGGGAGGATGGAGGGGAATGTAGGCGTCAGCATCTGAGAAGTGTGTAAGTATCGATCTTTTATACTTCAAGTATTAGAACACGA